ACACACACACACACACACACACACACACACACACACACACACACACAGGCTTTGTTATGTGATGGATTTTCCTATTGACTTTACAATTCCTCATCTCTGACTTTTAGTCTGGTTATATCTCAGGCATTCATCTTCAGGTTGATCTTGCTTGTAATCCTTTCAGCTCTAGATAATCTACCCATACCAAGATTTGGATAGTTTTTAGCTGTTACGCCTTTAAGTAAGTCTGAGTTACTTCCTCCTCTTCTGGGACTTGCCTAATTAGTGTGTGTGTGAGATCACCCACAAAGGGTTATCCTAACCTTACAGCTCCCATTTACTCCCTTTCTGTCTGTTAACACCTTAGACAATTTCGGTTTGCCTGTGATCTGGTTCCCAGGGTGCTGGTCCTGGTGGCAAACTGTTTTGCCATGTTGTGATTTACAAATCTCAGCTCACCTCTCCAGAGATTTTTGGCTTCTCTTTCTCTGAGAGCATCTCGCTGCTTCTCTGTGGGTGAGCCCTCCAGATCCCTTACATTTGCTCATTATACATGGTTACCAGCCACTGACACTTCATGGGAGCTTCATGGGAAAGAGCTTAAGCTTTCCTGGTCTCTCCTGAGCAGCTTAACCTTGTTGCTCCATAGGTACCATAGGTCATAGGTACCATTGACTATGAAACATTCACACCATTTTCATTTTTATGTGGAAAGGGGTTCAATGTTAGCAGTCTATGTTCCTACAACCTGTTCCAATTCATACTTTATAACGTTTCATCACACTAGTTGGTTGGGCTGATTGCTTAGGCTGATTGATGCTTCATGTTCTGAGGGCTTACGCACTTTTGGCTGGATCACTTTGGTGCTATATTGATTGAGCTTAGAAGTAGGTCTGTGTTGAAAGTAGGTAGTGTTTAGTCACTAAAGTCTTACTCTCTGGGGCAATTCATTTGTTCCTGAGTTATGTGTACATGGGGTTCTCCTCATCTAGGAAAAGTTCCTATACAGAGAGAAAGCCTGCTGGGCAATGACTGCCCCCGTTCCTCACCCGGCAGCCACTGTGTCTCGGTCAAGCATCTTGCAAGCTCTGCAGCTTTGCTATCCGGATGCCTAGCGCCCCACCCACCCACCCAGTGTCACCTTGCTGGCTCTCTGTTTTTCTCTGATGGCTGAGTGTGGCTGAGTGCACTGTGGGGGCTAAAAGCACCACTGGTCTGCAGGATTGCCTGCGGGTGTGTGGATTGCTCGTGGGGTAGCTGGCTGTTCAGGGTACCTGTGCCTTCCCGAGTCCCTGTGTGGGCACCTGTTTCATGTGTTCTTCTCCTGGCAGGGCATAAATGGCTCCACGGCGAGAGGAGCGGAAGTGGGTATTCAGGTGAAAGAGAACTTGAACAAGAATCAGAACCAGAGCCAGAACGAGGTGTCCACAGGTGTCGAACTCACAAAGAACGTGAACAAGAACCAGAACGAGGTGTCCACATGTGTCGAACTCACAAAGAACGTGAATGAGAACCAGCAGAAGAACCAGGTGTCTGTGTATTCAGCTGAAAAAGAACCCGAAGCTGAAGAACCAGGTGCCCACAAAAACAAAAACAAATCAGAGATCCTGCTGGAGTGCACGACATGGCACCCCATTTGCAGTCACCAGTGAGCACCTGGTTGCCCAGCTCTCCCCACAGGGCTCTACGGAGCCTCGACCTCACTCCACGGCTGTCTATCCTGGCCACTCGAGAGGGGCTGCACCGCTTCCCTCTCCCAGGGAAGGATCTGGGCCACCTGGCACCAGGGCTTCCCAGGAGGTGGAGAGTGAGGACGCAGTTGCTACCCTGAGCCTGGGGCACTGCAGATATCCTTGGATGGAATCAAATACCCAGCAGGAGCTGTGCCCTTTGGAAGGGCCTCACTTCTGAGATCTGTCTGGAGGTTTCCCTTGGATGTGTGGCCCAGCAGCATGTGGGGTGGGGCTCTGCTCCCTGTGCTTACATTGGCCCCATCGAATGCAATACTGTAAAATGTACTTAGGCAGCAGTGTGGGTCAAAACTCCCAGATAAAGCAGACATGCCACACCTGGCTGAGCAGGGATTCTTTGAGTCTGCCCACTAAGCTTTCTAGCTGTGGAGGCAGGCACTGTGTGCTTTACATAGGGACAGGCCAGCAACTTGAGGGGAGGATGAGCTAGCCCTAAATGCCTTAAGCTACTTAGAAGCTGCGTGCAGGTCGAGGACAGCTTGGGAGAAGACTGGAGTGTCAGGACATCCCTGGTCTCTACACTGCTCTCCTGGGTACCTCTGAGGCACCCTGGTAGGAATGAGAACCTTTCTATGGGTAAGGCAATGACATGTGCATTGAGGTGGGTTAAAGAGGTGCAGCCAGCACTGGCTGGTTGGTCTTGGTATCCTGGCCTCTCCCCCATGAACTCTGGCATGTTCAGTTGGCAAAGACTGGCCTCTTCTCAGGCGGGACTCGCAGATGTTCAATGGTTGCCACCACATGGAAACCCTAGGACCTTGCCATAGGCACAACCCAGGCTCAAACCCCTTCCAGTAAGTCCCCGTCTGCGCTCTGCTGTGTGCATGCCATCCTCACACGTATGCGCGTGCAGTCTCACCAGTCACAGAAGGTCACGTCCACTGTAGGTCTCCAGCCTTTAATTCATACAAGGACTCAAAGAACACACATTACCCACTGGCACCGAGTGACAGGGAGCCTCATGGAGGAAGGACACAGTAGCTTGGCCACTATCCTGGCTGCCCTGTGCAGCATAAGTGCCGCTGTCCCGACCCCTGGGCACTCACATCCCAGAGCCCAGGTCTGCCTCCTGTCATCCCTGCCTGAGTGGCACTAGCAGGGCTGTGGCAGGGTGCGTGTGCTCAGGACAAGGGCCCAGCAAACGCAGAGAATGCCCATCCTGGGACCTGACTACTGGGCAGACCTCGGTTCACTGGGATGGCAGTAGACTCCTTAACCCAGTGACAAGAAGCAAAAAAAGCCGTAAGCAGCCTTTTCCAGGCCTTCTGCGTATCAGGACCACTGTCTTCTTGGCTATAGCAGCTCAGCATCCCCAAGGCCCTGGAAGGGAAGAAGGAGCCTTGACAGCCATGGTAAGCCAGGTGCCCCCAGATTTCAAGGCCACAGGAGGATACCAGGACCCAAGTGGTGCCTGAACCTCTCCAGTGCTGTCAAGGAAGACTGAGATGCAGCACTCAGTGGACAAGGACACTGAGGGTCTGAATGTGCATGTCTGTAAAAGCCCTTGACTGTCAATGCTCCTCCAGCTCCTGCAGAGCTGGCTGGGTCAGGAAGGGCCCCAGACATCTTCCTGACCTGCAGTGCCAGGTCCCATTGACCCTGAGGTGAAGTTTCACTAGCCACCCAGCATCCCCATGGCCAAGTGACCTTTCTAAGTGAGATAGGGGCTAGATGTGGCAGGCTAGTCTCCTGAAGTGAGGTTCCTCACGTAGACCCCCCAAGGCCAGTCTTTGTGAGCCCATGTGAGGGTCAGAGCATACTCTCAAGCAGTGTGGCAGAGTTGAGCCTAGTGTGGCCGTGCCAGCTGCTGCCTCACCTACATCACACTGGGGGAACCCACAGTGGGTCTTCTCTGAGGACCACATTCACTGATCTCCACAGTGACACAGGGTCTTGGTGTGTGTGTGTGTGTGTGTGTGTGTGTGTGTGTGTGTGTGTGTGTG